GTCCTCTGACATTGCATCATAGTGTTTTTTCCACAACCCCATCACATCATGTGGTTCGTAGAATACCAATATTGTTGCAAATAGCCTCCACAGAGAGGAAGGCATCTGGAATAAAGTAGCTTCAGTTAGACATTCATCCAGTGTATTGTCTTCTTCGATTAGACCCCTCCTTTCTTTAGCTTCACGGAACGAAGGTAGTAGCACGCCATCAACCATCCTCAGATGTTCGTATGAGGTAGCACCAGCAACATTGTTCAAGAGAACACGAAGAAAGTAACGTTCTCCCTCAGCAGGATGAGCCAAGATGACTCTTCCAACTTGAAAAACGGAGTTTTTCCTTTTCTGCTAGAATTTACCATCAGACTGCCAGGTAAAATGCTCCGGGAAGTCCCGATATAAGATTCCGCGGGCTTCCTCATGATGCCTGTTTGCATCGAAGTATGCTGTCAGCATTGACTCTTTTACACCTGGCCTATTAACGATCCGTTCGACCTTATCCCATTTATGAAATGCCACCATGTGCATGTCGGGTAGATAAAGCTGCAACTGCTGTACTGGTGGATGGTTCTTGCTCAAGTCAAAGCCATATATCCTCCATAGTGCTTCTAGAGGCGTCACCCACCGGGCATCTCTATACTACTTGATCTCATCAATGTTCCCTTTCTTGTCTGCTTTGTCGGTCTCCCTCATCACCACCGATGCCCTGTCATGTCCCTTGTATATGTATTTGAATAGATACTTTACTGATTTAATGCTCCCACAGGCCTCAACATTGATATGGTAGTTGAAGGTACGTAGCAGGCAAGGGTTGTAAGGCACAACCCATTGATTGTCTAGGTAATGGCCTTGAACTTTTAGCGTGCGGCCATCATTGCGTCTCCGATAGATGGGGTACGAATGCTTTCCCTGTGACGTTGCCTCACAGAATGGGCGCGGGTAACGGTTCTTGCATGACCCATGGCCCACCGTGCACAGACAGTATGGATTTAGCGTCCCATAGGGACCATGCATCATATGCTTCGTCACCATCTTGTAGAGCTCAGGGCACTTCTTCTTGTTTGGTAGCTTTGCACTAATAATCATGTCATATTGCTCGTGACATGCGAGCTTGCACTTCTGTTCCATTATTAGCAAGAAGTGTGCATGCGGCAAGCCCCTCTTCTAGAACTCCACTACATATACGTAAGCCTTCACCTTCACAAGTATGTCTTTCTCCATCAACATTTTCCTCATCGCCTCTAACTTTGCTCTGAAGACCCGTGTGACAAGATCTGGGCGGTCCTGTGGTGTCTGGCCTGGATAAAGTTCATTCTTGATCACATCCCAGTTAGGGTTGCACGTCATTGTGAGGAAGATATCAGGTTTACCATACTTTCGCACCAGAGCCATTGCATCCATGTATCGTCACCTCATATCACGGGGTCCTCCGATGAATGACAAAGATAGGACAGTACGCCTTCCGACATTCTTAGCAGATCCTTCACCCGAATGCATGCTATCCACCTGGCCTTGGTATAGGTCAGCCCTCAAAGTATCCTGATTGTTCCTCATGTAGTCTAAATGTGAGCTCTCAATCATAATGTAGGTGTCGACGGCGAACTGTTGGAAAAGACGCCGGCCATAGAGTATTGGATTAAATATTCCTAGCTGCATCTGAAACTTGGAGCAGTAGTAGTCGCGCATGGAGACACATGTATTCGAAATAGGTTCTACATGGAGACATTGTTCGAATTAGTATCATGCGTTAACAAAAAAGAGTTTATATTGCATTATTGAAAAGAGTTCAAGTTACCTCCATCATCATTGTCACCGTTCTCGGCATTCTCGGCATGCCTTTTGCGGATTGCTCGAGCTCGCTCAACTTCAGCCATAGTCACACCCACTTTTGGAATGCAATTGTGCCACCCGAGCTCACCCCTTGGAAAGAACAGCGGGTATGACAGTGGGTCGTAGCATGCATTATATGAGCGGATGCCGTGTATAAACCGATCCTTCCCTTGCAGGAGAACACTATGCTCGAATTGGCCATGACGCTCACTCCCCTCAACCCAGACGTCAGCCACCTCTGATGTCAGTGGCACGTTATATGTTCTCTGGTCAAGCCGCTAGTCAAGGTTCAACTCGACCCGATAATCCTCCAGATATTCAACGTGTCCCATACTCCTTAGTTGCTGAGAGTAGGGATTCATTTAAAGATACTAACCAATTGCTCTATAACTTCTTTGTCTTTTTGGGCGCATTGCTCACGGCACTTGCTCATCCGATGCTCGAGGGACGGATCGTCGTCGTAAAAATAAAGCTTGAGGTGTCTCTTTTTGGCACCCTCCTCTTTACCAAATGAACGTATGTTATGGTAAATCTGGCCATGGGCATGGAACGTGTAGACACCGTAGATTCGCATGTTAGTGGTCACACGATCTAGGTGGTAGTACAGAGAAGTGGCCGTTGAAATATCTGATGTTTGCACAAAAGTGCCTAGCATCAGCGTCCGAGCTTTATCACAACCTCATGAGCTCTGGTGGTGTCTCATGAGTTGAAAGATGAATCTTTCCACCTCGACAACAGAATCCGGGTGGTTCACCCTCAAATTTCTTTGCGTTGTAGTGCTCGCAGTTTGGCACCGATGGTAGCATGTGCGACTCTGACGGGACATTAGCGTAAACCTTGTCGTATGGATCCAGGACATCAGGCTCGCTATTGTCTTGCTCATCTGTGTTGAGATTGTGCTCAACGTCGGCTCCCTCCTCGTCGTCTTCTATCAAAATGTTGTTGTGTTACACGTTGAAAGAAAGTCTGTGAAACAATGTTTTGACTATTACATGGTGTACCTTGTCCGGCGAAAAAGTATGCCTCATCCTCTTCCTCGTCCTCCTCAAATATGACATCCTCATCATAGTCTATGCAACACGGTCACATATATGATGAGAGAAACATAATGGCATACAAAAAAGGGATAAATTTAATGGAGACAATACCATCCTCGACCATAGAGTTTGGCGTATGAGCTTGTGCACCGTTTGGAGGCATTGAAGAGGTACCATCAACTACAGACGGTTGTGTCTATGTACCTATGCAATTATTAGGTGGTGGAATTGGAGGTTCCTGGGTGACACCACCTGTAGTAAGAAAAGTGATAAGTTTTTGGAATAGAAGAGCGAAGGTGAAAGTACCAACAATATATAGTGATCAAGGCTAATTACCGTTGTAAACCACACTCGGTTGAGTTGGGTCGTTCGAATCATTGCACTTTCCATCTGCACACCTCTAGCCCTTCTTCAAATGTTTGCTTCAAAAGCCCAATTCCGATAAGAAAGAAGGGCATTTCTCTCTCTAGTGATCACTCGCTGCCTATGTATGGTCTGTGCCATAGCCAATTCAGGGGTCTAGATTTCTGGATTATGAACTACAGATGGCGCGATGTCAACAGGCGTGCCCCTCAATTCGGGTATTTTCATATCGTGTGAAGGCGCTTCAGGCGATTAAGGTGAACAAAGGAAAATAAGCTGACGGTTAAAGTGAGGGCTCTCCATGGCGATTGAGTCCGGATGCAGATTGTTGGCTCGGCGTTCTCTCACCATTGTATTGTATTTTTTGTTGATCTCTTTTCGTTTCAACTTCGAGTCATTTGCAGTTTCCTTGCAGTATTTTTGGAGAGAATTCCTTATTTGACACTGAAAAATGAGTCGTTCCTTTCTTGGCCCTGAAATTTTCTTCGTTCCCTATTTGACACTCACTTCAACTTTCATCCCTAATTTGACACTACCGTCAAATCCGTTAGCTAACGGTGTTAACTGGCTATTAAAAAGACGTTTTTGCCCCTAGAAAAAAAGCGGCGAAGCAAATTTGAGAGGAAAAAAAAGCCGCTTTTTTTCTAGGGGCAAAAACGTCGTTTTAATAGCCAGTTAACACCGTTAGCAAACGGATTTGACGGTAGTGTCAAATTAAGGATGAAAGTTGAAGTGAGTGTCAAATTGGGAACGAAGAAAATTTCAGAGCCAAGAAAGGAACGACTCATTTTTCCAGTGTCAAATAAGGAATTCTCTCTATTTTTGCTGCATACAACTCACGCCGCCTCTTGTTTATTTGCGCCTTTTGTTCAGGAGACATTGCAGCCCTTCGTGCTCTATCTAGCTCACGCTTACGCTCTTTTGGACATGTGACAAAATTGTCGATGGAAGGGGATGCATTTACAACATCTATATATTAATAAAAAGTGTTCGGTCTCAATGTTTAATCGATGAAGAACACACAATAATTGAAATTGTATGATAATGAATTTACGCAATAGTGTCAGCTATGATGGTGTTCAAACTCTTTTTGTAATTAAAAACAAAACCACCATTCTATAAAGGCATACCCGTTTCTTGAAAAATGTCGATATCCGTCTCAGTTAAACTGTCGTCAATATCGTCGGGTGCTCTAATGGTTAAAGGGACAGCACCATCTAAAAATTTATTCATATAATAAGTATCCCACAACACCACGATAAGATATTGCTACGGAAAAATCAATATTATTTGCACACATGTTGGCTGGGCAGCCTCCTTTGGAGTCATTTGTAGCATATTCCTGTATTTTTTGGTGTATTTTTTGTTGCATATAATTCACGTCGTCTCTTATTCTGTAGCGCCCTTTGTTCAGTAGACATTGCAGTGTATCGTGCTCTGTCATGATCACGCTTACGCTCATTTGGACACATGACAAGCCGGTTGATGGGACTAGGTGCATATCCCGAACCTATATATCATGGAATGACACTTTAATCAACGCACATTAGAATGGTGTCTAAGCACAATCGGAATAAACAAACACATGCACGATTCACCAGAATTCCAAGCAATGGATACAAAAGTGTACCCTTTTCAATGTCATCCACGTAGCCAGTGCCACCAATGTTGCTTAAAGGTACCAGACCGTCTACAAATATAACCATACAATACAATTTGAACCATTCCATAAGCAAACTATGTCACTTACAGTTGCGACACCAATAAATACTTTTATTCTGCTAATAAGTAACCTGATAATTGTTGCAAGCCATTACTGTAAGTTGATTGCCTATGGAGCCAGTCACTGTTTTCATCCATCTCATTTGTTGTATTCCCATCTACAAGTTCAAACATAGTTGATTGTTATTAATTAATCCATACAATAAGCAAACTATATCAACACGTTAATTGCAGTCGCCGCACCAATAAATACTTTTATTAGCAGAATAAGTAACCTGATAATTCATTGGCGACATTACTGTTGGTTGAGTGCATATGGAGTTTGTCACTATTTTCGTCCATTCCATTTGTTGTATTCCCATCTGCAAGTTTGAACATAGTATAAATAAATTGTTATTAATTATAACACATATGGCTTTTAAAGTGACACTCAGCAACACCACCATTACCTGTTTAATGAACAACCTCATTGTTATGAGAATCAACATGACCTTGGTTATTCATCTTATACCTCTCACGGCGTTTCTTGTTTCTTTCACTCCTCTTTTCATCGGACATTGTTGCATACCGTTCTCTATCCCTCTGCCTCTTTTGCTCATTAGGTCACGTATGATTCCCTTCAATAAATTTTTGTGAGTTGCAAACATATGAACATAGAATATGTAGAGATATTTTAAAAGTTTATTTACCTCCATGTGTTGTATTTGTAAGGTCCCCAAATGTACCCGATCACCGGTTGACCTTGGCGTGTCCATAACACTACTTGACACTTTTAGCAATGTATTGCCTGTGAAATAATATGCCCAATAAATCTCATTATTGCCAAAAAAAAGTTAAATAGGTCGATAATATGCAACCTGAATGAACTGAATAACACTACGAATAAAGCTGGAGTACGCACAATGAAAAAGATGGTCATGAACGGATCACCAATACCAATAGGCCACATAGATTGTCATCAATGTATTCAAAGTGCACATATGAAAAATAAATCTTGATTTTAAACTGCATTCACAATTATCCTTGCAAGATAGCATGTTCACATTTTCATAGTACACGTCATGTATAAATTCAGAAAATGTGGAATGGCACATTGCTTAGAAAAGCATACTATCAGCCTGTGCATCCACTAATTTATTTACAATATATGCCAAGCACTCAAGAAGAATAGTAAAGTGCCTGCAACTCCAGGGCCAAGCTACTAAAAAATCATCAGGACCTACCAAGTGACTACTGAAAGTTTTAATATGTTTCAGAGTTTCTACCCTAGTCTCTCATTCAGGTAATATCAATTATCAGAACAATTACTTTAGTACAAAAACCTTGATACGGTTGATCCAAATGATTTGAACTGAAAGCATCCACAATTAAACCTTTTTTAAGTTCACAATTGCTTACTCGATTTACTGGAAATCAAAATCTTTTGTCTACAAAATTTATTTTGGCTGTACTCTGAAACATTCTCCTAACAGCATGATTCGATTTTCCTTGGCTCTTCATTTCCACATGGATAAGACAGGAAGCAAATTGAACTTACATCCTTTTTGGGAGGGTGTTTTCTATACATTTTCATTGTCAGCCCTCACCAGCACCTGAAATCACAAAGTCAGAACTCATAAACGCTGTCAAACTGAACTGATCATACCACATGATAGTTATTATATTCTACAGAAAACATTTCCATCTTACACAAAGTTAAAGGAAAAGTGAACAATCGAGGGAAATACATGCCACTTTGTGGAAACGATTCCAGTATTTAGTGCAGGAAGCTCCAACAGACTAATCCTCCTCTGCTTGTTATCCTGCCTAACTGGCTGCACACCAGAATGTCACAAATTTTCTCATCAAACTTAATACTACTCACAGTTGACAGAAAAATTTCATAATACAAAGAAATCAAGAGCTCATCAGAATTCCACAAGGCAAGTTTCTTGACGCAGGCTAGGAGTAATGGGAAGAAACAACGTGTAGCACAGACCAAGTGCATCCTAAGAGCCTAACAAGTTCGACAATAGTTGATCAATCAAATCAATAAAATAAAATCATTAGGCAGTATTGCAAATACCTCCCTGATCTCATCTACAGTGTGACGAATAAAAAAAACTGCACAGGTAAAATCATTACTGATGAATCAACTATGAAACAAATGTGTGATGAATAAAAAAGAACTTACTATTTCTATTACAAGCCACCTAAAAGGATGGCAATAACATAAAAATTAGAAATTAGAAAGTAGAAGGATGATAATGAGACACATAAGTACATAACTATATGAGCAATTCCATCTAACAAACATGTGAGTGTTGAGCACCAACTCCAACAGCAGCTCCATTTGGTCATTTGGTCCTCTAAAAACAATAGGAACAGATATCTGACCAGCTGACATATAGTTTGACTTGACAGCTGAATTGACAATAGCCTGAAGATGCAGTATAGATTACTAAGGTTTTTTCACGAAATATGGAATGTTGAATTCAGTGGATGACAATAATGGGGGAAAATCAGTACAGAAACTACCTGTCTCAGTCACATGAATTAAGCATGCACAAATGATTGCCTTTTGACACTAATTCAGGGAAAATAAACATGAGGAATTGATGAAAGCAGCAATCGATAAAATTTTTCGTTAATTATGGATCAATCTCATTTTTAATTACAAATTTTTAATCAATCTCATTTACCCAGACCTTACAGATAGACCACAGAAGTAGTAAGTAGCAGCAATAAATCATCAACTGACAGCATATTAACAATGACTCAGTATTACAAAATTCAGTTCCAAATATTTACAAAGTTGATAATGGGCTGCTGATGCTCTGGTCTGAAACGTTAGACAGGGCTTAAAAACTAAAGTAGTCATTCAGACAAGACAGGGAAGCTGTTGTTCCAGCGTAGAACTGAATTGGAGAAAAGAAATAGTGCTCCCGTTGTGCCGCAGTTTCTGAAATGATACAGGACATAGGCGGCACATCTAGTTTTTCAAAATTTATCACTGGCAAGTCAAATTAAAACTGGTTAGGGCTTTCCAACAAGATCCGTATAAAAGAGAAGTAAAGGGAGCTAGGAAATGACCGAGCACTGCAGTCTTCAGACCCTCTTTACGAGCAATGGTTGTTACCTTGTCAATAACAGATATTTTGTCAGCACTAAAGATACCAGAAACAAGAAGCCCGCTTGAGTCCCCAACCTCACCATGCCGTTGATCACATCTACCAATATATGAGAATTTGAGTAGCAGCCATGGTCCCACTGATTAGTTACAACCTACCCCTGTACTGAAACAATTTGACTCATTCTACATAGACAAATCGACGAAGCAAAACCTGCCAGTGTGAAGAAACTCCATAAATAAAAACTTGTACAATAACAACTATTATTACCGAAGCACTCCACTAATGATCACAACGCTGAAAAATTGTGCAAATTTTACGTCAGTAAATCCAATCGCATTCAACAATATGCTGAAATTTAGCACCCGGCCATGTTACCAGTGATGAACTGATGATAAACAAAATCGATAAAGGTGGGTATAGAACGACGATAACCAAACAAAATATAGCCACGATTAGCAGAAAATTCACGCGGACCTTCCCACTCGCTGCCGTTGGCAGGGACGACATCCATGTGCATGCCGATGAAGGAGACAACGTGGCCGGGGACAGTGCCAGGGTAATCGAATCATAAATAAATTAATCGTATCGCAGGGGGAGAGAAAGGGAAACCGAAGAATTATGAACTTGCAAAGAGCTGTATGGTTGTATAGACGTGCCGCATCAGACAGCATAAGTATCTTCGAATTGACAGCTTTGAACTGCTCTCCTCACAACCAATCTTGGCTCACCATCGTTACCTCTGTATGTCAAAAGAATGAAAACAAATGAGAAGTGGCTAATGTCCTTGTTTTGTATACAGAGCTAATTTCCGTTTCTTGTAAGATTCAAATCAACTAATTTGTGGTCCGGTGCTGACCTGCGTGTAGCCGTGGAGCCTACCTCCGTGCTCCGGTCGACAGACAGACCTTGGTCGGTGCCGGAGGTGCCCGCTATTCCCGTCCCTTGACCTCGGCCTCCACGTCCGTCATGGACGTCGGGGCCCGGGGGTGCTGCCGCTGCTAGATCAAGGCCACCTTCACGGTCGCGTCGCTCCCCGCCATGGTCGCCGAGACCCTCGTGCCCCCGTGCAGGTGCGGGCGTGCACCCGTGCCCTCGCGCGCGCGAGAGAGATGGAGAGCGAGGACGTCGAGGAGCAACGGAGCCACCGATAAGGCTAGACGGGGGTTCCCCAGCTCTACGCGGGCGGCGGCGGCGCACCCAGATGCGGGCGGGCACGGGCGGCGGCGGCGCGGCCTGCTGCGGGCGGGCACGGGCGCAAGGTGGGCGCGATGGGGGCACGGCGGCGGCGCGGCCACAATCACGGGAGCGGGTTTTGTTTTCTTTCCGGAGCGACGTTTCTTTCCTTGAAAGGGAGACGGGCATAGGGGGCGCGTGCGGCGATGGCGCGGAGCGAGGTTTCTTTCCTTGCAAGGGAGACGCGCGGTATCGCAAGAGGAGGGGCGGACCGACGGAGCGACGATTGTCGTACGAAACGGTGATCTTACTTTTTTTTTTAGTTGTAGGATATGAGTGTGGATAGAAACAGACCCACAATCACGGGAGCGGGTGTGGATAGAAACAGATCCGCTGGTTAGTTAAGTGATTTAATTAATTATTAATAAATTAGCTTTTGTCTGTCCTTGCCTCACCGACTCACGGTAGTTAGCTTTTTTGTCGTAACAACCAGCTAAAAATTAGTAGATCCATCCAAACTAACAGTGAGTATATAGGCATACTAAATTAATTAGTATGCATGCATACAGTCACGTATCACTAGATTAATTAGAGTATGTATTCATACTATTAGAAGCACGAATGCATTTATACTCAGAGTATATGCATATACTTTTCTTCACAATAGAGTATGCTTACATACTAGTGAGTACTCCCTCCGTCCAGGAAAGGATGCAACTATGGGTTGCATACCACTAAAAGTAATTTACGTTTGATCAAGTTTCTGGTAAATAGTATTCGTATTTATGGCTCCAAATCAATTTATTATAAAAATATATTTCATAATTAATCTAATGATATTTATTTGATATAGTAAACATTAATATTTCTTTATCTATAATTGGTCAAATTCGAGATACTAAAACGTGATACTGTGCTAGAATTGCATTCTTTCTTGGACAGATGGAGTATATATGTCTACCTACCAAAGGAGTATGAGCGCACACTGTAATGATAGTATGAGTACATACATTTTTTATGAGGAGTATGAGTACATAATTATTTTTATGGAGTATGAATACGTACATGCTTACTGGATCTAATCTGAAAAAAAAGTATCCAAATATACTCTTATGGTCTAAAAAGTATCAGATGATACTCTCATCTAAAATAATCATGGAATTGTAGGCGCCATTGCTCCTGTCTCACGCTCCATCTGCTATTGAACTGGTGGGTAAAAGTTCGCAGCTTCGGAAGGAGTATTTACCGACAAAAGTATCTAACGATACACTTATATGAAAAACACTATTCTAATCAAAGAAAGTATCATGTGATTCTCTAATCTGTGAAAGAAGTATCCAACGATACACTTATATGAAGATACACTTATATGAAAAAAGTATGCAGATATACTATTTTCTGAAAATAACATGAATCAAAAACAACTAACAGCTTTCTGCAGGTTCTCCTTCATGCAGCTGCGTGTGTTCTTGAATCTTCTCCCCGTTGCCAGCTTGAGAAGGCACGTAGAGTAGCTCCTGCTCGGCATCGATGGAATGACTATCGTCGTCTCCGGCCATGGGACCAAGGGGCACCGTGCGCATGTTGGGGAGTGCGCCAGGTGCTCTGCCGCACTCATCAAGAGAAAGCGGTGGCACAGCTATTCTCGGGGGAGAACGCCATGGTGTCCCACTACCATCAGGATCTTGCTGCCGCGGTGCCGCCGCCATGCCTCGATCTGGATCACGGCATCGCTCAGCGGAGAGAGAGAGAGACGCATGCAACACAGCCTGTGGTCACCCACTCACCCTGGTTCCGCTCCATGCAGCGCCGTAGGCCGGTCGCCGGCGGTGGCGCGCCCTGCCTCCCTACCGAGCCACAGTTACGACGAACTAGATGAGAACGAAGCAGACATCGTGGGATATGAATGAATTTGAATGGAAGTCGATCATACCTATCTCATCTAGCGAGTCGAGCGGAGGGATAAATAATAATTAAAAAATATTTACTTGGTGGAAAACTGGATATGCTTTATTGGGTTTAATTGTTTGTGACCCGCTAAGAATACTAACACATGGACAGGAGTACATGGTTAGGAGGAGGGAGGAACTACTCCCAGGGATGTATATATATGCTTTCTTACGTAGGATTTTGATTGATTACATGTAATTAAATACAATGGGTTTCCGTTGCTAATATGCAAATTTGCTAGTTTCTGTCATAAGACTATGCTAGGCAGCTCTTTGTAGCTTGCTTGGAGCTCTATATTTGGTCCTGTGGTAGGCTGTAGCGATGTATGCTGTACTTGAGCATTGAACTCTATATTTGGTCCCGTAGTGATGTGTGCTGAGTGCTGACTGCATGCTGGTTGAGATTGTATTATTATTAAGTGAAAGCGATGATGAAGTGGCCAAATATGGGTTTGGTATAGAATAGACTGCCCCCAACCCCGAGTCATGTACTAGACATGAGCGATTCATATTGTTCGATATTCTGCTAACTGTGATTCATATTGTTCGATATCCTGCTAACTGTAAAAACTGTTGTTCCGATTTATTCGGCTAGTTGCTTGCAAATGTTAAGAGATTGTAATTTGTCATCTTAATGAAACACGCGCCTAAGTGCACGTTTGCAGAAAAAGAGATTCTAATTTGTAAAGCATCATCAATTGTCCTGTTATGGTTCTGTTTAGGTTCTTTATTTATAACCTGAGTGAAGGACGTGTTGAACATGCATTTTTTGTATAAATTTTAGAGCTTGGATAATCATTTCTATAGTACATCTGTTTTCCTATTGGTTCTGTTGTGACTTACTGGGTACTTCGTTATCATTTGTCTTCTACCTTGTTGTTTGTTGTCTTATACCTAAAAAATTTCTTTGGTATACAAATATCTTTCTTTTTGTAGTCTGTACGTAGGCAAGTTTGTTATAAGCTTTAAATTGTGCCATTGTTCATTATTTGTATACATCCCTTTGATCTAATGATTAAACCGTTTTTTGTACTTGCTTGTCATATTATTCACTTTTGTGTCTTAACCTGTTCTTTTGTTCGCTTCAGTCATGGCAAAAATGGCACATGAGAGTTCTCAGTTTGATGCTAAGGACTATGATTCTAAAATGCAGGAGTTTCTGTAAGTAATATAAATTGTTCTTTTTAAAAAAAAAACTTAGCCACCACTTGTTTTATCATGTTTGACTTGAGAGCTATGTGATATATACCTTACCTCTATATGTTCATGTGATACAGAAAAGATGCTGGGGAGTTCTTCACTTCATATGATGAATTTTGTGAGAGTTTTGATGACATGGACATCCAACAAGAGACTCTTCGGAGAGGAATTTATACTTATGGTAGGCTGGGAGTCTGTTTTGCTTTAGCATGTTCCGTTGTTCGCCTTTCATATGGTATTCCTCTTACATAGGTTTTTGAGAAGCCTTTTTGCAATTCAGCAAAGAGGAATTGTTCCCTCCTGCAAGAGTTTTGATGTCATTCACCAAGCAAAATCTGGTACAGGAAACAACATGGACACAGGAGCGGCGGCCGCGGAGCTTGGGAAGGGGAAAAAGAAAGCGGATCGAAGGCAAGGAAGGCAAGGAGCACACCCGATGATCGTGCAGCCCAACAAGAGGATCGGCAACAACACGAATAGACACTTTGCTCCTGGAGACGGATCGACAAACGAGTGTCTTGTCGCACAGCACGTAGATTAACCTAATGGGTTGTATCTTTGGGTCAGCCCGTGTCTAACCATATTGATACGAATAGAGATCATGGTAAAAAACGTCCTTCAACAGTTTTTTTAATTAGATCTTTGAATGTTGTCATCCTCTATTTTGGTGTTTTTGTTAGAGAGTGAAGCTTGCTTTCTACGGTGTGCATAAGATATAGAGATCGATTTTATTCAAATAATTATCTAATCGAGGATTTAGAGAGTGAACCTGAAAGACTCTTGTAGATGCTCCGATGGGTTACCTAAAACATAGCCATCGTTTATCTCTTGTTGCTCCGCTGTGTAGCAGCAGCAAGCCCCCTCCTGTGTCCTGTTGGTGGTTTTGTTCACTGCTCCGGTGGTGTGGCAGTCGAGGAGGTAGCATGCCATGGACGCCACGCGAGCTCGGGCTCCCCCTTCACACGCGGTGACCATGGCTTGATGTGCTGATCCTCGTCCGGGTTGCCGTGGCTTGCTGTGCTGATCCTCGTTCTGGTGACTCGAGAGTCGGAGTGGCATTGCCGCCGCCGGCGAGCATGGCTGTGGGGTGTGACTGCAGCAAAAGACAGTGGCCCATGTACATGTCCAGAACTAACGGTTACCCCGTGGTGCCGCTCCATGGCGCTCGGCCGACAGGCCCACGTTAGGCCTTAGGTCTTAGGCCCGTCTAAGCGCTGCGCGGGTTGTGCGCACACTTTGGCCCAATTTGGGTAACACAACTGGGCCTGGTCCAGTCCGTGCTCCGTCCCCTGTAGGCCCAGTCTCGCACTCAGGTATTGTGGCCTTGTGGGACAGGCTGGACTGGACTTGGGTAGCACAACTGGATTGCCCGTCGAACGTCATCACAACATCATGCTTGCGTGCCTTCTTGACCTTGGACGGTTGGACCAAATGCATGGGCAGATTGATCCTTCGTTGGCGTGTCAGCAGCCATTGCATCTCGTCCACTGCAACTGTCCCAAGACCATAAGGAAATAAGGAATGGTCAGTAGTCATGGAACAAAATCATACAGTATAACTCTGCAACATCTCCGGGTAGTCAGATCGAGTAGGTGAACTGCCCTGTGTACAACAGTACATGGTTTTTGTCCTTTTTTCGGACTTGCTAGCGCTCGTAACGTCCGTCCGGAGGCTGCCGCGCACATAAGAGAGCCGGTGCCCGCCTGTTTTCACGTGCCCCACCACATGGACCCCGCGCTGCTTCCCGCCCCTACCATCGCGCTCGCTCTATTTCGCCCGATGACTGTCGCGCCCGCACACGGGAAACCCACGTGGGTCCAATTATCTGCCCTTCCTGCGGATGCACGCCGCGGAGGCATCATCGGCCTCAAGCCCCTGCACGGTGACCCATAGCAGCGCCCCAGCAACAGCGGCAGGCGTTTGCAGCAGGTGGGTCCCATTGCAACATGTACAACATCTCGATCTACTTTTACAACATCCAGATAAAAAAACTTGCAACATACATCTGAAACAGCTAAAACACTTGCAACATATGTCTAA